TGTAATCCGAGGTACCACTGTATCAGAGCAAGGAAGTGATCAGCACTACGGACAGCTCTGAACGGGGTCTCACATTAGAAGCAGGAGCAACTAATCTCGAATATTGGCCCAAGAGCTAGCAGACTCTGAACCTTCAGCAGCAGTTTGGCTTCCTTCAGATTATCAGCTCCAATATACGTTGGTTCCTGGCTCAGGGCAAAGTACTTGAAGAGGAAACTTCCTGTAGAGACAAGTGGGAGATGGAAGTCTGTGTTGGCCTGGAGGGCTCGGAGTAAGCAGGGCTCTTTGTCTGCTGTAATGTACTTTGAACCGTTTCTGTTTGAGTGTACCTGGAGTCTGTTTTAAAGACAGGCCGCCCTGATATGCAACAACACAGCATTGACTTTCAAAGGGGCGCTGCTTCCTTTAGGAGCCCTTGGGTGCGGTGATGTTTCTGCAGTTTGGTGGCGGCTGCGGACATAGAATTGAGGATGGTCAAACCTATCCATTTCTCTTTCTCTCCATTCCTCCCCCCACCCCCAGTCTTAAACTGAGTTTGCCACATTTTTGCATTGGTTCAAAATTGTTTTAGTCCCCACTAATATTCATTAAGCACTTTTCTGCACATTTTCTCCTAATATTTAAGACAGTTTCCTGCTTGGCAGGGGGTTGGACTCGATGGCCCTTGTGGTCTATTCCAACTCTATGCTTCTATGATTCTATGATTTAAATATCTAAGACTATCAAGAAGTTTGAAATGCCTTAGATATTTAAAACCTCACTTTTAACCATGTTTTAAATTGCTGGATTTATGCTTGTTCTTTTACTTGTATGTTTTGAACTTTTGAAAACCAGGTAGAAATCTTTGGATATAAACTGCTGTAAGACTGTATTAAATATATGAGCAAGCACAGTTTGCAGGCGTATATGAGGACTATGTTTTCTCCTTGCATGGGCACGCTTTGTTTTTGTTTTCTGTTTTGGTTTTATGATGTTGCATAGTTTTGTGCTTTTATGCCGTAAACCACCCTGTGATAAATTTAATAAACAATAAATAATAACAACATGCACATTTTTGTGTGTGTAAGCAATTCCCTCCAAAACAAAATGCATTTCTGTAATGTTATCATTACTGGCGTGTATTTTACTTTTCCTATCATACTCCTTCTTTCTTTACATTTTTCAGTCACGAAACTGCATCACACAAAATTTGGAGCAGTGTGAATTTGAAAAGGTAGCTAGAGTTGCCATATTTCAAAAGGTAAAAATCTGGACACAAAAAGTTGTTGAGCTTTCTTAGGGCATTTGCTTGCTAGCCCCTCTGCTAATGTTGAACCAGAGCCTCCCACACGAAAGCCAGAACTGGAGTCACATGTGCCAGAGCCTGAACCGGAGCCAGAAACGCTGGAGCCAGAGCCTGAACTAGAGCTTGGACTGCCCATGGCAGAACCAAAACCAGAACCTGAATCAGAGCCTTAACCAAAGCCACCCATGTACATTTTTTTAAATATAAAAAAACACCCAAAATCCAGGACATTTGCTTTAAAATGTAAAATTACCCCCAGATGGGCATGTAGGACCCCCAAAGGAGGACATGTCTGGGAATTGCTAGACATATAATAATTAACAACAACAACAACTTATTTCTACCCTGCCCATCTGGCTGGGTTTCCACAGCCACGCTGGGCGGCTCCCAGCAGAATATTAAAAACACAATAAAACATCAAACATTTAAAACTTCCCTAAACAGGGCTGCCTTCAGATGTCTTCTAAAAGTCAGATAGTTGTTTATTTCCCTGACATCTGGTGGGAGGGCATTCCACAGGGTGGGTGCCACCACCGAGAAGACCCTCTGCCTGGTTCCCTGTAACCTCACTTCTCACAGGGAGGGAACCGCCAGAAGGCCCTCGGAGCTGGACCTCAGTGTCCAGGCTGAACGATGGGGGTGGAGATGCTCCTACAGGCTGTTTTGGCAACCCTAAAGGTAGCTGCTTTTCTGAGTTGCGCATTCTTTCAGGCAAAATGCAAACTGAACTGAATTAATTTGGCTGGAGTCATTGGAAGAGGGGGAAAGGTGCTGATCCCTTCTTAAACTGAAGCAGGGTCAGCCTCATGAGCCTTTGTGGTGGTGGGGAGTCTGAAGAGATAGGGACACTAAAAACCATTTCAAGGGCCAGATCCTTCCTGATATGAGAGGTTGTTTTTGTCTGGTGTCTCCCCACCCCCCAAGGTGGTAGCAGAGGATCAGAGCGCAGGATCCTGGCGCATATCTGCATTGCACGGTCCCTTGCTTAAATTGCTTCCAGGCAGAAATTCAGTAGCTCATTCACACACCAGAGTACACAATTTGTTCCATTTTCTTGTGACATGTCCATAACTATATTTTGGGTGCTATTTTTCTAGCACTGATTAACTTTACATCTGCTTGATTGATGAGATGGTTTCTTTGCATTATGTTCGCCAGGAGAGAGAGGGGAGGGGAAGGGGAAAAAAAGATAGCTAACATTTAATTGGTTTTCTGTTGGCTCAAAGATTTACAACAGCTGCCATCTGCAGAATGATTTTCCATTAGATAGCCAAACATAGTTCTTACAGATAAGCTCAGTGACTTTAGGCAATACATTCCTGTGTATTTACAATAATAAAGAGATACCAGAGACAGCCTTGAATTAGAGGAGGATGAGCACCATGAAATAGAATGCCATTTAACCAAAACAGTGAATTTGTTTTGTTGGCTGCTGCAGTGGCACAAAGACTTTCACTCCGAAGGATTCGAAACAGCAGGTGGTGTGAAAATTGGTATGAATAGCAGTCATCTTCACTGCAGTCCTGCAATCTGTTCTGCATGCTTTGGAGGGTGCAAAACCTTGGAGTGAGTAAAAAAAGAACCATCTCCATCACCCACAATTCCAGGAATGGTTTCACCAGATATTAACACATGTCACAGGAGAAAGCTGATCTACATTCTTGTTTCTTAGTGCATCTGGTTTGCCTCCTATTGTCAAAAGAAGTGAGGGACCACTCAGTGTTCAGCTTTATTGTTATAGAATCATAGAACCAAAAAATCCAAGCCTACCTACCCAACCACAAAATATATAAGGCTCTTCTAGACCAATCATTTATTCAACATTGATCCTGATTTGCTCGCATAAAGAAAATGACACAGTGGGATAGGCACCAATTCTAAGGGGCCAAGACCCCTTCAACCCCACCCCCCAAATATTTCCCCATCTCCAAACTGAGCCACCCCAGTCTCCTTCTCCACTGCCTAAGAGTGCAGGTAAGGTGTCCAATTGCTCACCCACCTCCCTCTCTCCCAGTGGGCACCCTCCTTCCTCCCCTCCTCTCCAGTGGACTGGGCCTGGACCCAGTGCCTCACGAGCCCCCTGCCATTGAGAGGACTTGGCCACTGCCTGCTGCCGTCGATACCACATAACACCGGTCTTGAAAGACCTACATTGGCTCCCAGTATGTTTCCGAGCACAGTTAAAAGTGTTGGTGTTGACCTTTAAAGCCCTAAACGGCCTCAGCCCAGGATACCTGAAGGAGCATCTCCACCCCCATCATTCTGCCCGGACGCTGAGGTCCAGTGTCGAGGGCCTTCTGGTGGTTCCCTCACTGCAAGAAACCAAGTTACAGGGAACCAGGCAAAGGGCCTTCTCGGTAGTGGCACCTGCCCTGTGGAATGCCCTCCCATCAGATGTCAAAGAGATAAACAACTACCTGACAGGAAGAAGGTAGCAAAGCCTCCACCATGTCGCGGGGCCTAACCCAGGACTGCACTCCGTCTGTCCTCCCAGCAACCTTCCAGCAGGGGGCAGGGCAGCACTCTCCCTTGTTTTATTCAAATTGGTGCCATGGCACAGTGGTCAGACGATACCTGATCTTTACTGAGCATTCACTCTGATTTGTTTGTGTGGTGGTGATACAACACTGAGCATTCATCCTGATTCTCTTGTAAAGTGCTTACAAGTCTTCCCATTAGTCATTCATTCTTTCCAAACTTTTCAATGAATTCTCTTCATCATAGGGACAACATGGTTGGCTGGCTGGAATTCTGAACAGGAATAGTCCTCTTAGGAAGTGAGAGTACATTCCAACGTTTTTTGTAGGTAGGGATGAGGTAGAAATTCAATTCTGACCTCACTGAGTGCTGAATCTATCAAAAATGCATATATTAGGGGAAATTGTGCCTAAAAATGAATACATTGGTGAAAATGATACACAAAAATGCATTCAAAAGTGTGATTACCAGGAGAATGTGCCCTGAAATATTGGTGAATTTTCATGAGTTCCTTTTCTTTTTAAGTTTTGCCAATTGCTGCAAAATGTGGAGAACTGGATGTAAGACTGGAAGAATGAGAAACAGGAAGGAGCAAAACTGACGTTCCCCTTCCATCCCTAGCTGCAAGTCCCCCTTGCGTGAGCACATAAGCAAACATCACACATTCAAAACACTCTCTAGGAGTGCAGCACTGTGCATTCGAATCAAATTTAGTCAGACAACAGGACTGCTGAAATTCAATTTTGTAAGCACCTACAGGGAAAAATGGATTGCCGACATGGATTTGTTAAGAGAAAACCTTGCCTAAACCATTTAGCTTCCTTTCTTGACAGGATAAGTGGCTCAGCGTTCAGGTAGTGAGGTAACAGGCTGGAGAGCCGGTGTGATGCAATGCAGTGGTTTTTGATTTATGGTGCAGGGTGCACGAGAGCTTCTCAGAAGCTTGTAGCTTGGATTGAGAGGCTCTTTTGGCCCCCAGATCTCCAGTGTTTTCTTCTCCTGCTTCCCAACATCACTTCCCACACAATTCCAGAGGGTCCCCAAATCTTCAGGGGCAGAACAGAATCATAGAACCATAGAGTTGGAAGCATAGCTGTCAAAGTTTCCCTTTTTTAAAGGGAAATTCCCTTATTCTGAATAGGATTCCTCACAAGAAAAGGGAAAAGTTGACCACTATGGTTGGAAGAGGCCCTGAGGATCATCCAGTCCAATGCCCAGCAAGGCAGAAATATGCAGCTGCCTCGTACAGGGATTGAACCTGCAACCTTGATGTTATCAGCACCAAGCTCTAACCAACTGAGCTACCCAAGGGGCTGCAGCTAGGGATGTTAGAAGGCATTGATTTCTATTGAGCATGTGCAGTGCTTTATCCACTCTGCTGCAGTTCGACTTCAGACAAAAACAACGTAATTCAACTTGCTGTTCCCTGTGGTGCAATTTTATGTAATTAATCATGTTGTCCTCACGTGATTCCAGGGAAACACGATTCAAATGGGTGGGTCATCACCTGAGGACTGAAAACAACAACAGTGAATACTGTGCTTGCTGGATTTCTTTCTGTTCTGGACGTGAGATGAATAAGCAAACACCAGCCATTTCTGCTCACATTTCTGTTTCCATCAGAATTCTCAGACAGCACCAGCTGCAAATGGGTTGATGTAGGAAAACCCTGTTTCAGATGCAGAGCTTATGCTCACACTTCTAAGGATCTTACCCAACCCGGTTCTTCTTCTTTTCTTTTTTCCCAAAATATAGTCCGCCCCCCACAAGGACTGAGGGACAGCGGACCGACCCCCTGCTGAAAAAGTTTGCTGACCCCTGAACTAGAAGCATACAGCCTCTGAAAGAGAGCAGATTAAGTTGATGGATTATGCCAAAATGGCAAAAAATGACCAAAAGAATCAGAAATCAGGAAGACCAAAATTTTAATAAGGAATGGGAAAAATTTATAATGGGGAAAATTTATAATGTAAACAGTTAAAATCGTTAGTAGGATTGGAATAACACTTGTAGTTTAATGGTGAATTTTGGATATAATGGAGATGTAAAAGGTTTGGATTATTATAAAAGATGGAGGAAATGACTAACAATAGGACCCACAAAGGGGAGGAAGGAAGTCCAGGAGATTCTTTGGAATCTTGTTTTTATGTTGTATGTTGGATATGCTATTGAAAAACTTTAATTTGAAGAACCAATTAAAAAAATAAAAAATAGTAGCCACTGATAGCTTTATCTTACATGAATGTGTGTAATCCTCTTTTAAAGTCACCCAAGTCTGTGGATCATGACCTATTGTGGGAAGGCGTTCCATTGTTTTACTATTCACTATGTACAGAAATACTTGATTTGTGTGCCCTGAATCTTCTAACATTGAGCTGCCTTGGATGTTCATGAATGGCCATGGTATTTCTGGATGTATAATTCAGCTCTTGTTCGCAGAACCTGGAACACAGGGTGGCATAGGATGAAAAGCCGGAAAATAGGGATTGCATTCAGCAATAATTGGGAAGGGGGAATTTGGAGAGATGTAAGATTCTACCCTGTGCCTATGCTCAACCACAGTAGGACAGAGCAAGCCAGTTTCTTTCAAATCCAAATATTGTAAAGTACCATCAAATAAGAAATCCGATCTACAATGTGCATTGAAAAATGTGTGAAGTGGAAATAAAAAGGATGTTTCTTTCTTCAGTGGCTTGCAAATTTCTTTCCTCATTCATAGCAAGTTTAAACATGAAAACACTTGTTTTCTTGGAGCTTGAAAGGATGCAAAGTGTGGACAGAGAAATCTTGGATTCTGGCATCAGTGGGTCAGTGGGAAAAGACATGCATGCCCATCAATTTTTAAAAATACATAGGAGAAGCTAGGAAACTAAGCCTAGGCCTTTCTTCTTCCTTACAAAGGCAAAATGACCCCTTTGGAGATGAAAAAGGGGATAGTGATTGTATCTGTAAACTCCAGTCCTTCAACACGCCTGATATCCACTCAGAAAACAGGCACCTACGGGCACAGATGCCATTGCAAATCAAGCGAGTATCACATATAACGTACAGTACTGACTGCACTGGTTAGGGCTAGGGCTGAGCCTCCACATGTGCATCCCTTTGTGGATGTTAAGAAGAAGAGCCTGCTGGATCATACCAATGGACCATCTAATCCAGCATCCTGTTCTCACAGTGGCCAATCAGATGACTGTGGGAAACCCGAAAGCAGGATTCAAACACAAGAGTCTTCTGCCACTCATCATCCCCTGTGGCTTTTATTCAGAGGCATACACCCTGTGACACTGGAGGAAGCACACAGCCTTAGCAAGTATCTTCTCAATTAGAGGTACAGTGGTACCTCGGGTTAAGAACTTAATTCGTTCTGGAGGTCTTAACCTGAAACAGTTCTTAACCTGAGGTACCACTTTAGCTAATGGGGCCTTCCACTGCCGCCGCCCAATTTCTGTTCTCATCCTGAAGCAAAGTTCTTAACCCAAGGTACTATTTCTGGGTTAGCGGAGTCTGTAACCTGAAGCGTCTGTAACCCAAGGTACTGTACATAGGGTGGTGCCAAAGGATAAGGCCTTTTCAGTGGTGGCCCCTCACCTGTGGAATGTTTTCCCACAACAGAGGCACACCTAGTGCCTACTTTGATGATTTCTGGGTCAGCAGAAGACCTTTTGATTTGCCTTTTGAAGCAGTTTCATAATTTTAAAGACTTTTAGAAATATGATACTTATGAAATCAAGTCAGTATGAGATCAATATCAATTGTGATCAATGAGTCCCAATGATTTAAACGGGTCTGTTCCATGCATCTTGCTGGGGTTTGGGGATGTGTATTAGTTCTACATGGAAGGTTTCTGATTCTCTGCATTGTATCATTTGACTGTAGCTGGAATGCTAGGCTCAAATCAGAACTCTGCTCTGCTCTCATTTGCTATAGTTTGCTTTTAGGATTTTTGTGCTGCTATCTGATTTTCTTCCCCCCCTGCAGCACATGGATTTTGTTTGCTTTAATTGCACATTGTCCAGAGTGCTCTAATTATGGGGCTTTTAAAAAAAAGGAATAAAAAATATATATGGTGTAATAAAGGAAGGAAGGAGGAAGGATATTTTTTTAAAAAGACACACACATATCTCTGTGCAATAATGATGCTTTAAAAAGGTGGCTCCTCAAAGATGAATGGTTGTTCAGTAAGGCAACATAACTTTATTCCGCTAAGCTGTTTTTCTGTAACTTCCCTCTCCAAACAGATTATGGAAATAAACTTTATGCCACAAAACTGTTTTCCTATAACTTCTCTCTCCAAACAGATTACAGTGGTAACTCGGGATGCGAACGGGATCCGTTCCGGAGCCCTGTTCGCATCCCTAATGGAACGCAAGACACGACGGCGCATCTGCGCGTGTGCGGGTCGTGTTTCACTGCTTCCGTGCATGACGTCATTTTGAGCATCTGCGCGAGCGGCGAAACCCGGAAGTAACGCGCTCAACGCGAAGCGCATTCAACTCGAGGTATGACTGTATAGAAATTAAAGTATACACCATCAGTAGCCGGAAAGATGCCATAAATAATGGTGCAATTTCCTCTGGCGATATGAGTAATACCTTAATGTGTGTGCTTGTGTGGTTCTGTTTTCCACATCAGTGCTTGATAAAGGACACTGTCGAGTTATCAGCTCCCTTCTCTGCACACAAGCAGCTGCCCTACTAGGGTTAATCTGATTTTTTTCAATCTTGACCTCACCACCCACCCATATTGCTTTCAAAACCATCCCCAGGAAAACCTGTATCAATAGGATTGCACATGGCATACAAGAGCTAAGTTATTAACTGGCATCTGAGAAACTGATGAGAACTGAAGAGCGCCTGGGCCTTTTGCTCAGCATTTGAGGGCTCTTAACTCAATGCCACCTTTTAATATTTTTCTTCAAAATGCTTGCTGATTCTGAGCTGAAATGCCTTGCCCTCATTTCACCACTCTGTTTGCAAAATCACTGTAACTCAGTGACAGTAACACGGAGCAAGCTGACCCTGCCCTGTGAAACAGCGATCCTGTTGAGATACAACAGACGCCCACTAGCCCCACTCTCCTGGAAACAGCTGAAGACCATTCTTGTTCTGACAGACTTTCCCAGCTGGATATATGAGTCCCCACCATTGTGGGATGCAGTCAAGTACAACATTTCTAGAGTGGAAATGTTAGGGGATGTTTTTTACCACTCAGGAGAAGACTTCCTGTTTCCTCCTGACCTGGGACAGACTTCCACTACATGTGATTTGAAGAGTGTGTGGTCTGTTGTACTAGCATGGAGGAGCACATGGCCTCCATGTTCTGATCAGTGTGTCTTCTCCAATTTGTATGTTGCTGTGTGTTTGGAGAAGTGACTGCTTAGTCGCAGTCACTTGGGACTATTTCCTTTATGGGACATTCACCTAGTTATATGTTGTTCTTTAAATTAAGTCTGCCTTCAGGGTTCTTATTGTGAACTGGATGATTGTAAGTAAACTAGTTTTATGTTAACTTTAATCAGATGGTTGTGTATATTCTTTTATAAAAAGGGAAACCAGGAATCCTAAATAGTGAGGCTCAAACGAGCCTGTACCTAGCTAACCGCTTTGTAATTTAAAAGGGGGGCTGTTTAACAACTCTGCTAAGTTATAGAACTTGCTGACGCAAGTTAGGAAGGATATCATAAAATAATATATCCTCTCCTGCCTCCCAAAAGGGTTTGGATTTGATATCCTGCTTTATCACTACCCAAAGGAGTCTCAAAGCGGCTAACATTCTCCTTTCCCTTCCTCCCCACAACAAACACTCTGTGAGGTGAGTGGGGCTGAGAGACTTCAGAGAAGTGTGACTAGCCCAAGGTCACCCAGCAGCTGCATGTGGAGGAGCGGAGACGTGAACCCGGTTCACCAGATTACGAGTCTACCGCTCTTACCCACCACACCACACTGGCTCTCATGAATCTCTGATTTGGATGGTTTTAGTTTTGTTTTAAATATATTTGCTGTCCCCTGCACCCATTTTTAATTACTCTTAGTGTGTGTTGCCTTGAGATGGTTTTTTTAGAAGACAATTAATCAGCAACAGCAGCAGCAGTAGTAATAATAATAATAAGGAAAAGCAGTGAGGTGGTCAAGTCTGCAATTTGTTCAGGGTGCTAAAACCAAAAAGCAAGTGCAAGGAGCTCCATATGGATCCCTCCCAAAAGTTTGAATGAGTATTATTATTATTATTAACATCTATAGCCCACCTTTTCTTCAACGTAGAAAGGTCCCCTCTCCTTACTTAAACCCCGCAATCCTTAAACAGGACTGCAATAC